AAATGTTCATAGAATTGGGTCAAAGAGATGAACTGACTTGCCTGAGACCATACAGCTCAAAGCTGATGATGCTGGGACCCATGCCTAGGCCGAGCCCAAAGCCAGGCTCCAGGCCAATGTGACATGGGCTTCCCCATGGAACCTGGGCAGAGGGACACCAGCCTCAGGCCCACGCATGCCTCTCCAGCTGCCCTCCCAAGCACAAGGACACCACATCACTGTATTCAGACAGCTCTGGAGGCTGGGTCTGGGTCCAAGGCAGGGTTGTAGGGTCCCAAGTACTCCACACTCCTCACACCCATCCCCTCCTCTGCACTTTGATCCTGGGACCCTGAACAAGTCCCAAGGGCTGCGAGCCTCAGTTTCCTTGTCTGTCCAATGGGAGAAATGTTTTGGCACCCCTCACCTGGGTCAGGTCTGGGGAGAGCTGAAGTCAACAGGGTGGGAGGCTCCAGGCCACTCCTGCCCTTGACTGACTGATACCAGTCACAGGCCACTTGGACTCCTTCCCTCTCTGAATGATGACACAGTAGTACAGATAATGAGATCTAACATTTATTAAACACTTGTGTTGCACCATTTTCACTCCTAACACCTGAGTCAGGCCCTATTATGGTCCTCATTTTCAGAGGAGGAAGCTGAGGCATAGTGAGGTTAAGAGATAGTGTCTCTTACACAGCCAGTTAAGAGTGCATAGGGGATTTAAACCAAGGCTCACTGACTCCAGAGCCAGTTTAGAGACACAGTGTGAGAGCAGGAATTTCCAGGCCACTCTGGAGATGGAGAACAGGCCTGAGGTGAGAGGCCCTGTAGGTACCGCAGCTTTGGTCTAGTTCTGGCCAACAGGAGAAGGCAGTGGCACCCGTGGGGCAATTTCTCTGGTTTCCTCATCTGGAAGGCTCAGCTTTGTGAAAACAAGAAATAGATTTGCAAACTGGACAAATGTGATTTCAGCCCTGATATGGTTTGTCCCCACCCAAATCTCACCTTGAATTGTAATAATCCCCACATGTCAAGAGCAGGGCCAGGTAGAGATACTTGAATCATGGGGGTGGTTCCCCATATTGTTCTGGCGATGGTGAGTAAGTCTCGAGATCTGATGGTTTTATAAATAGGAGTTCCCCAGCAAGGGCTCTTATCTCTTGCCTGCCACCATGTAAGACATGACTTTGCTCCTCATTTGCCTCTGAAGTGATGATGAGGCCTTCTCAGCCACGTGGAACTGTGAGTCCATTAAACCTCTCACCTTTATAAATTACCGAGTCTCTGATACATCTTTATTAGCAGCATGAGAACAGACTAACAGGGGTCCTCTCCATCAGACCAGAGGCAAGAGGAATTTGCTTCCTCTAATTGACAGTCTCTAGAATGTCAGACATTACATAAACCTGCAGGGTGTGCTACTTCCAAGTCCCTATAGACACAGGGCTTTTAAAAGTTACATGAGAGGTGGAGGCTGCAGTGGGCTGAGATTGCGCCACTGCACTGCAGCCTGGTGACAGACCGAGAAAAATAAAAAAAGGTTCCATGGTGGTGAGAATGTTTGGTTGGAAAGCCTCGTTAGCAGCACAGTGCAGCCCATTCACAGCTGAAGTCCTGGCCTTGTCCTGGACCTGCCCTTCCACCTCCTCCCTCCTGGTTAGTGGCAGCTCCAGCCTTCTATCAGGACCACACCTTGCAGTCCCTGGCTCCTCTCTGCCTCCTCCATCCAGCCCATTGAAGGTCCTGTGGCTCTGCCTTCTGAGAGTGCCCAAGAGTTGACCATTTGTCACCGCCCCCACCTCTACCCCAGTCCAAGTCACCAACGTAGTACTTTTAGAATGCAAGCCAGGCATGGTGGCACACCTGTAATCCCAGCACTTTGGGAGGCCGAGGTGGGCAGATCACCTGAGGCCAGGAGTTCAAGACCAGCCTGGCCCACATGGTGATCCTCATCTCTATTAAAAATACAAAAATTAGCTGGGTGCAGTGGCTCACGCCTATAATCCCAGCATTTGGGGAGGCCAAGGCGGGTGGATCACGAGGTCAAGAGATTGAGACCATCCTGGTCAATATGGTGAAACCCCATCTCTACTAAAAATACAAAAATTAGCTGGGCATGGTGGCACATGCCTGTAGTCCCAGCTACTCGGGAGGTGGAGGCAGGAGAATTGCTTGAACCCAGGAGGCGGAGGTTGCGGTAAACCGAGATCGCGCCATTGCACTGCAGCCTGGGTAACAAGAGCAAAACTCCGTCTCAAAAAAACAGAAACCAAACGCACAGTGGAAAACCCCAGAGCCCCTCAGCCTCTGCGCAGCAAAGCCTGACCCCTGAGATGCTGGAAACAAGAGGGGAAGGCCCAGCAATCCTGCGCCAGATGCCTTTCCAACCAGAACAGCTCCTGACCGAATCCCCTGCCCCAAAGGTGTGAGACCCCACCCTAGTCTAGGACACCTACGAGAGGGGTGGTCAGCCCATTCCTAGTCTGTGTTTTGTTTTTTTGCCAGGCTGGCATGCAGTGGCACAATCTTGGCTCACTGCAATCTCTGCATCCCAGGTTCAAGCGATCTCCCGGGCCTCAGTCTCACCAGTCACCACCATGTCCGGCTAATTTTTTGTATTTCAGTAGACAGGGTCTACTGAAAATTAGCCAGGCATGGTGATGGGCACCTGTAATCTCCACTATTCAGGAGGCTGAGGCAGAAGAATAGCTTGAACCCAGGAGGGAGAGGCTGCAGTGAGCCAAGATCACACCATTGTCCTCCAGCCCACACAAGAGGGAGACTCTGTCTCAAAACAAAACAAAACAAAAAGAATATAAGGCAGACCTTGTCCAGCTCTGCCCAACACTCTCTGGGGCTCCCATCTCATCCAGCCAGAGCTGGAGTCCTCAGAATGACCTGCTAAGCCTGCACATCTGACCCTGGCCACCTTCTGACCTCATTGTCTTCTTCCCTCCCACTCCCGCCCTCTGCTCAGTCACTCTTGCCTCAGGCCTTGTTAGCTGTCTTGCTGCCTAGAATGTCTCATGCTAAATAGAATGCCCCAGTGACTTTTCCCGAACCTTGGCATCTGGAACACGGCCTCACTCACAGTGGGCTCTGTGGTGTTTGTTGTATGTTAGAAGCTCTCCCTTCAGGGCCCACTGTGTGGAAGGGGCAGCCGCATGGGTGCCTCCCTCCCTATTTCTGTCTGCCTCTGATGGCTCTCGGGGTCCCAACTGTCTGCATGGTCAGGGGTCATGGTGCCTGCAAATCTAAGTCAGCCTCTCCCACTCCCTGAGTGGCTCCTGGTCAATGACTGGAAAACCCAGCTCCCTTGCTTTCATCACAGGCTCTGCTTTTGGGGCACCCCCAAGACAGGAGCTTTCCTCTGTCCTCTCCCCCAAAGAGCCAGTTCAACCTGGGGATCTGGGACGATGAGAAACCGAGGCCTCTAGATACACTCTCCCCTCTGGGTGGTCGAGGCTCCATCATCTGCTCCCCATTGCCTGGGCCAAGCCCCTGCCCTGGCTTCTCATTCCCTTCGGGAATCCGACATGTTCACGATGCAGGCACTTAACAAGACTTCCTGGGGCCAGGAAGCCGTGTACACAAGAGAAATGGACTTGGGTCTTAGTCCCACTCCCCTCAGGCCACACTCCCCCCTCCACCCAGGATGGCTTCAGTCATAAACTTGACAGGTGTCCTTCTAGTCCCTGCTTTTCTATTTTACTGCACATACACCCAGGAACAACACACACCAAACTGTGAGGTCTGAAAATTCATCCCAATGCCATTGTGCAATCTGCTTTGTTCATATTTTTGGGGACCATCGTTGGTAGGAATAGGTCTGGTTTATCTGCTGTAACTGCTGCACCGGGTTCCATAGGATAAACAGACCGTGGCTTACTGCACTGTCCTCCATATGATGAATGGACCGTGGCTTACTGGTCTGTGCTCCCTATAGTGAATGGACTGTGGCTTACAGTGGACCTTGGCTTACTGGTCCATATTCCCTACAGTAAATGGACCGTGGCTTACTGGTCCACATTCCCTATAATGAATGGACTGTGGCTTACTGGTCTGTGCTCCCTGTAATGAATGGACTGTGGGTTACTGGTCTGTCTCCTGACAGCGTGGCTGTTTCCAATTTCTCACAACTGCTGCTGCTCGGCAGCCCCCGGAGCACAGCCCCTTCCCCACAGCAGTCTTCCTTCCTGGCCCAGAGGCCCATGTCCCCGTCTTTTGGGGCTCTTGCCCCTGTCTGTCATCCTCCAGGTGGGAAGACTCCTAGGTCGAGAGAGCAGGCTCCAAAGGTCACCACTGCAGCCCCCAGCCCACTCAGCACCAGGCAGGTACTGAGTCTCTTGATTGACAGATGGACACAAGTGAATGATGGGGGCTGTGCACTAGGCCTTGACCCTGTGCCAGGGACAAGCCAGGATGGCCTGGGAAAGCCCTGGCACTTGGCGCCCAGGGGGCAGAAGAGCAAGCTGTGGAGAGCCAGACCTGTCAGTGGGGAAGGCCTGGGCCCTGGGGAGCTTCTGGATGAGTCAGCCCAAGTCAGCTGTGACCAGACACAGGGGCTGCCAGGAAGAGTTCCCCCTCTGCTGCCTAACCCAGCATCATCACTGGTGTGAGGAGCAAGTCCACTAACAACTTCGCCATCACTTAGGGAGCCCTCCTCACACCAGACACTTTACACCTGGAGCAGGCACCCACCCTTTCTAGAAGACACTGAAGGCACGCAACTAGTAAGTGGCAGAGCAGGATTCAAACCAGTGCTTGGGTCATCTGGTTCAGAGAAATGGATGCCACGCACCACACCCAGCAGTGTCTCTCTGCTGTGGCCTCTGCTAGGCCAGAGTCAGGCAGAAGCCCAGCTTAGCCAACAAACATGCCCATTTCCTCCTGCCACAACAGAATGGGGTGGCCCAGCGCAGGCTCCACCTGGGAATTGGCAGGAGAAATCTTCCCAGGAACAAGGCCAGGCCCCACCCCAGCCAGGAGACTGAAAGTGGCTCAAAACACAGCCCATCTACAGAACTCCCCAAACTTTAATGCTGTGGCTCCAAAAAGGGAGGCTGGAGGCTGTGGTGGGTCAGTGTTGCTGATGCCTCTGGCCTCCAGCCCTGTATCGCTAGGCACCACATGACCAGGCAGTGAGAAGCACAGGACCTCACTCCCATGCCAGACTGCTCCTGGGCTGAGCAGACCTGAAGCTCTAGGGCTTCCCCCAAAGCCCAACAAACAGACATCACCAGGACTTAAAGGCCTGAGCCTGCCACAGTCATGCAGGACTCAGCTGGGGGCCTGTGTGGTGCCTTGATGGAGTAGGAGGTGAAGAAAGATTTTCATTCCAACCCGGGAACCAGCGGGTGCCCTGAAGGGAGGGAGGCCTCAGGGAGTTTGAGACAGGAGTGTGTGTACTGGGTGGCCCATGGGGGCTCCTGGTCTCTCAAGGCACTTGGTTCAGGTAACCCGTGGGCTGGAGACACATTCCATCTTAGGTCCCAGAGATAGAGGTCAGGAGCATCCCTAGAACCTGGGGTGGGGCTGGAGGCAGCGTGGCTGGCTTCAGTACCCTCGGGCATCTTGACCCCTGCCCTCTGGGACTGCAAAGGGATCTGCGGGTGCCTCTGGTGAATCAATCGTCTGGTAGGCACTACGGTCCTGAGAAGATCCAAGGAAACCTGGGTGGCAGGGGACATGATGGGAAAGAAAAGTGAATGGGGAGACCTCAAGACATTCTGCTGAGTCCAAGGCAAGATCTACCCCTGCCACCCTGGGGCCAGGCATCCTGACACCACCACAGAGACAGAGGCAGCAGCCCCAGGCACTAAGCTTTTAGCGTGTATCATTCATTCAATCCTCCCGTACTCCTTGCAGCAGGTATCATCCCCACTTTACAGATGAGGAAACAGTGGGTCAAAGAGATGAACTGACTTGCTGAGATCACACAGCTCGAAGCGATGATGCTGCGACCCACGCCTAGGCAGCCAAGCCCAAAGCCAGGCTCCAGGCCACTGTGCCATGGGGTGGTTCCTCAGGCAGCAAGTGCTCAGGAACCTGGGCAGAGGGACACCAGCCCCGGGCCCACACACTCCTCTCCAGCTCCCCTCTCAGGCAGAAGGACACCACATTACTGTATCCAGATGGCCTTGGAGGCTGGGGCTGAGTCCAAGGCAGGACTGTAGCTCCAAACACCCCACACTCCTCACTCTCATCCCCTCCTCTGCACATTCATCCTGAGACCTTGAGCACGTCCCAAGGGCTGTGGGCCTCAGTTTCCTCATCTGTCCAATGGGAGATACATTCTGGCACCCCTTCCCTGGGGGCAGCCCCAGGCCATTCTTACCCTCGACCAGCTGGTGGCAGTCACAGGCCACCTGAGGCCTCTCTTCTCATGAGTGAAAGGTAGAAGGCCACACCCCACAACCTCCCTCCACTCCTCTCAAAGAGAAAGGAGAGACAGAGGTGTCAGAGAGCAGGCAAACAGCTCGGCCACCAGCAGAAGGGGTACAGGAAAGGGCATGGGAGAGGGCGGGGTGAGGGTGAGGATGGGCGAGTGGGGAGGGATTGGTGGGTACGGGGAGTGCCCACAGTTCAGGGCCGTCTTCGCTGAGGCTCACACAGCCTACGCTAGAGCAGGCTCTCCTTTGGCTACCTAGCACAATCTCTGCCGCAGGAGAGGAAAGACCCCACGTGGCAGGAAATGGGGTTCCAGTGTTGGGGCCCGGTGAGAACAGAGAGGAGACCTGTAGGTGCCGGTGGCCCTCATGCTGGAGATAGCCCAGGGCTGCCCCTGGGAACTAAATGGTACCCCCAGCTGTGCCTGTGCTCTAGGCTGAGAGAAGGGCCTAGCCTTAGCCTCACAGCAGGAGAAGGTCGCAGCGGACCAGGACAGTCAGGGGACCCCTGGGCTCCTGCAGCAGAGACCAGGAGCTTGGACTCCTCCAGCCTGGTACAGAGTGCCCATGCCATGCTCTTCCTGCTGGCCCCATGGGGTAAGGCCAGCTCACTGGGGGAGAGCCTGGGGGCCAGGCAAGGGAGAGAAGGGAGTGGTGGGGAGCTGGCCAGAGGTGGTGGCCTCACCAGTGTGGACCAGGAGCTCACCCCCGCGCTCCCGGTACATGTGGTAGATGAAGCAGCAGGAGAGCGGCTTGAGCAGCAAGCTGAGGATGGCCATGCCCGCGCCGAAGCGGCCCGTGTCCGTGAGGTTTCCCCGCGGGTAGAAGATGCTGATGTGTACGATGTCCAGGAAGATGGTGGCCAGCAAGCCACACAGAAACTGCAAGACACAGGCACTGATGAGCACAAGAGCCCTGCCGTGTCCCGTGGCTCCCCACCATGTACCAGATGCGAAGCTGTTTCATGCCCTACTGTGTCCTTGGGGCTTGCTGGAAAACTGAGCAAGCAAGCAGGCAGGACTCACAGGGGAGCGGCTGGCTGAGACTGCAGTCTAGGGGCAGGGACGCAGGGGGCTCAGGTCTCGGTTCCACAGAGCCTCCCTCCCTACCCATTTTCGATCACCTCTAAGACCATGATGGGCACAAGACTGGGCTCTAGAACCTCCATAAAGGAAGGTTCCTTGTTCACCCAGTCTGTCTCCAACACGAAGAAAATCCCTTCTCAGGGCCAGGCACGGTGGCTCATGCCTGTAATCCCAGCACTTTGGGAGGCTAAGGCAGGTAGATCATGAGGTCAGGAGTTCGAGACCAGCCTGGCCAATAAGGTGAAACCCTATCTCTACTAAAAATCCAAAAAATTAGCCGCACATGATGGCACATGCCTGTAGTCCCAGCTGCTTGGGAGGCTGAGGCAGGAGAATCACTGAACCTGGAAGGCAAAGGTTGTAGTGAGCTGAGATCGCACCACTGCAATCTAGCCTGGGCGACAGAGCAAGACTGTCTCAGAACAAAAAAAAAAAGAAAAAGGAAATCCCTTCTCACTCCTCAGTCACCCCGAGCCCTGGCCAAGGCTTGAAGAGCCGGTGCAGGGGGTGCACGCTGCCCCACCGGGCTTGGTGGGTGCTAAGAAGCTTCCCCTGTGGGAAGTTTCGGTCGGCCTGGGTCACCTCTCCTTCCTAAAGTAGTGGCGTGCCCCCTTGGCTGGGTCTCCATGTCCTCTCCCCTAAAAGAGAGCCCCAGAGGCAGGTTATAGGGAATGCTCCATTGCTCTTGCAGAGAAGCCAATCTGGGGCACCCCTTGGCTTTCCTGGGGGAGATAATGGCAGACCTGGGCTTCTCTAAGCCAGGCAAGAAGAGTAGCATGCTCGCTCCCAAAGACAGGCATGGGCTGACACCCGGGAGGCTGAAGAAAAAGGCTTTAGACAACAGGCAGTGGTGGCCCCAGGAAGAGAAGGAAGATTGGGATGGGACAGGGAGGCAGAGCCAGGCCGTGTGTCGCCCTGTGCTTCGGCCCCCGCCCTGGCTCACCATGCTTATGGCGTCGATGGAGTCCCGCTGAGCCACAGCCCACACGCCCAAGGCCAGGATGGTGAAGTTGGCCCAGGCATAGGAGCCCGAGAACACGATGCAGCCCCTGTCAAAGAAGCAGCTTAGTCCCATCAGGTGGCCACCAACCCGCAGGTCACCTCCCTCCTGTGCCAGGGGTCTCAGGGCCTCCTCCCAGAACAGACCTTAGTCTTTGAGGCCACCTGGCTATGTGCCAGCAAATCCCATGGGCTCGCCTCCCACCCAGACCCTGGATCTGGCTGTGTCCCTGCAGGTCCCAAGCACCTCCGTCTCCTGCCAGATGACAGCCTCCTGACTGCCACTCTGTTCTCTAAATAGCAACTGGTAGTGTAGTCAGATGCTGTCAATCCTCTGCTAAAAATCCTCCAACAGTTTTCCATCCCATTTGGAATAAAATGCAGACTCTTCACCAGGGCTTAAGGGGCCCGTGGGACCCCGGGCCCAGCCCCGCCCTCCCTGACCTCCCAGCCACAGCCCCGTACAGTGGGCGCCCTCTACTCTGACACTTGGCCCCCCTTTTGTCATTGAGCAGCAGCTTGAATGTTCACTCTGAGACTCCTTCCCTCACCCACCAATGCTAAGTACGACCTCGTCACTTTCCTAACACAAGGCCCACCCTATTCTACCATTTAGGGTATTGCCTAACTGACATTGTTGATTTGTTCACTTGTCAATCCAATCAAAATCATAGTGAACACAGAGCACTTGCTAGTACCTGGCATGGTTCTAACTATTATTTATTTATTTTTGACGGAGTTTCGCTCTGTCAGCCAGGCTGGAGTGCAGTGGCAAAATCTTGGCTCACTACAACGTTGCTCTGCCTCCTGGGTTCAAGCGATTCTTCTGCCTCAGCCTCCTGAGTAGCGAGGATTAGAGGCGTACACCTCCACGCCAGCTAATTGTTGTATTTTTAATAGGAGACGGGGTTTCACCATCTTGGCCAGGATGGTCTCGAACTTCTGACCTCGTGATCCACCCGCCTTCGGCCTCCCAAAGTGCTGGGATTACAGGCGTAAGCCACTGTGCCCGGCTGGTTCTTACTGCTTTAAATTAACTCATTTATGTGCATTTATGTTAACAACCCTAGGCAGGAAGTATTGTTATCCTATTATAGATGAGGAAACTGAGGCACAGAGTGGTTAAGTAACTTGCCCAAGCTCACACAGCTGCTGAGCGGTGAGGCTGGAATTTGGAGTCTGGCTGGAGAGGCCATGCTCTTGTCACCCTGCTGTGCTGCAAAGAAGACCCAGAAGGACCAGGACTGAGTCTACCTCGTTTATTACCAAACCCACTGGGACTTGCCTGCCCCTGCATGCAGCGACCACTTCCTAGATTTATATGACATTCACTGAAGGGCAGCATGAAGAAGACATGTGCAAGGCAGGTTTTTAGTGTCAATGGATTCAATAGGTCTTCGAATAAACCATCTTATCTTTTGCTTTTAAGAAAGCAGGTTCACATGCTAGACTGTAGGAAAAGATTTAAAAAAAACAGAAAAAAAGCAAGCAAGCAGGTGCTGTCAGGCATGGTAGCTCATGCCTGTAATTCCACCACTGTGGGAGGCCGAGGTGGGTGGATCATTTGAGGTCAGGTGTTCCAGACCAGCCTGGCCAACATGGTGAAACCCTGTCTGTACTAAAAATACACAAATTAGTTAAGCATGGTGGCACATGCCTGTAGTCCCAGCTACTCAGTAGGCTCAGGCAGGAGAATCACTTGAACCCAGGAGGCAGAGGCTGCAGTGAGCCGAGATTGTGCCACTACACTCCAGCCTGGGCAACAGAGCCAGACTCCGTCTCAAAAAAAAGAAAAAAAAAAGATAAATAAATAAAAAGAAAGCAGGTGCTTGGGTTTCAACCCAAAATCGCCAACTCAGAATCTTGGGGAGCGTGACTAAGAAATCTGTATTTTTGCCCTGCTTCTCAAGGTCGTGAACCACGATGGTTACTGTTCACGTTACTAACAGCTGTCAGGCTGGGCACTTCCAGGTTTGCAGGGTGCAGACGTGAGCTCAGTGGCTTCCAGTCTTGGTTTGGCAGAGAACTCTCTCCAGAAGCTCAACAGATAAAAGAGATGGTAGGCCTGGGTGCGGTGGCTCAGGCCTGTAATCCCAGCACTTTGGGAGGCCGAGGCGGATGGATCACGAGGTCAAGAGATCAAGACTATCCTGGCCAATGTGGTGAAACTCGGTCTCTACTAAAATACAAAAATTAGCTGGGTGTGGTGGCATTTGCCTATAGTCCCAGCTACTTGGGTGACTGAGGCAGAAGAATCGCTTGAACCCAGGAGGTGGATGTTACAGTGAGCTGAGATTGTACTACTGAACTCCAGGCTGGGCAACAGAGCAAAATTCCATCTCAAAAGAAGAGAGATGGTAAAGGTGAAAATCAAACCTGCAAGGCTGAGGCCTCGCTGTGGGGCAAGCCCTGGGAGCTCTGACGGGCCCTTCTACTTCTTCCTCCCGGTTCCTGCAGGTGTGCCATCCTCATGCCCATTGTACATATGGAAATCAAGACCCCGAGAGGCAGAGGTGTTTGGCCCAAAGTGACCTGGCTAAAACATGGCAGAACCAGAAGATAATCCAGAGACCACAGGAGACACGCAGAAACCCACAGAGTCACTTACCAGATTGTCAGCAGCCAGTGACCTAGGAGAATCACCTGTGGTACAACAAGTCGGGGAGAAGTCTGTGAACGTGACCACCACAAGGGCAGGAAAGCTTCAGGGGCAGAAAACGCAGGAGGCCCCCTAACCCGGCACCTCTGAGGGCCTCAGAAATGTCTATTGAAAGACATGCCACCAACTCCAGGAGCGGAGGAGGAGGAAGAAGGGAGGCCAGGCCAGAGAGGTGCCACTTCGTGCCTTCACCTCTCCCAGGGGGCAGCTGGCACCCACACCCCTTCCTAGAATCAGAAGCACGTGAACCAGAGCAACTCCATCTTGAATAAGAGCTGGGTAAAATAAGGTTGAAACCTACTGGGCTGTATTCCCAGACAGTCAGGCATTCTAAGTCACAGGATGAGACAGGAGGTCAGCACTAGGTACAGGTCATAAAGACCTTGCTGATAAAACAGGTTACAGTAAAGAAGCCAGCCAAAACCCACCAAAACCAAGATGGCCACGAGAATGACCTCTGGTCATCCTCACTGCTACACTCCCACCAGTGCCATGGCAGTCTACAAATGCCATGGCAACGTCGGGATGTCATCCTACATGGTCTAAAACGGGGAGGCATGAATAATCCACCCCTTGTCTAGCATATCATCAAGAAATAACCATAGGCCAGGTGCAGTGGCTCACGCCTGTAATCCCAGCACTTTGGGAGGCCAAGGCAGGTGGATCATGAGGTCAGAAGATCAAGACCATCTTGGCTAATACAGTGAAATCCCTTCTCTTCTAAAAATACAAAAATCAGCCAGGTGTGGTGGCACACGCCTGTAGTCCCAGCTACTCTGGAGGCTGAGGCAGGAGAATTGTTTGAACCCGGGAGGCAGAGGTTGCAGTGAGCCAAGATCACACCATTGCACTCCAGCCTGGGTGACAGAGTAAGACTCTGTCTCAAAAAAAAAAAGGAATAACTATAAAAATGGGCAAAGCAGCCCTGAGGGCTGCTCTGTCGATGGAGCAGCCATTCTTTGATTCCTTTACTTTCTTAATAAACTTGCTTCCACTTTACCCTACGGACTTGCCCTGAATTCTTTCTTGTGCGAGATCCAAGAACTCTCTCTGGGGATCTGGATCGGGACCCCTTTGTGGAATGCAGGGAATCTGCTGTGCAATCGGAAGAGGCCTGGATGGTAAGCAGAGTGGGTGGGTGGGAAGCTCACATGGTGATTTCTTGAGACACTGGAGCTGGGGCACTGTGGGGGCAGAGGGGAAAGCAGGTGTTGTGGCTAGAGAGAGAGGGCAAAGGGAGGGTGTCTGGGGACAGGTAGGGGGGCCTGAGGGCCTCGGGAAGGAGAGTGGGCTTCATGCCAAGTGCAAAGAGGAAAGCCACTGAGACTTTCCTACAGGGTGACAGCTCGGTGTGCCTTATGTTAAGGAAAAATAACAACAAAATCCCTCTGGCTATTTTTCTGGATTTCTGCAATCATCTACTTTTTTTAAATTCTGAGACAGGGTCTTGCTCCGTGGCTCAGGCTGAAGTGCAGTGGTGCCATCACAGGTCATTGCAGCCTTGAACTCCTGGGCTTAGGTCATCCTCCCGCTTCAGCCTCCTCACTAGCTGAGACTACAGGTGCACACCACCACACCAGATAATTCTTGTTTTTTGTAGAGATGAGGTCTCCCTATGTTAACCAGGCAAGTCTCAAATTCCTGGGCTCAAGCAATCCACCGACCTTGGTCTCCCAAAGTGTTGCAATTACAGGCAGGAGCCACTGCACCTGGCTACGATATTTTACCCTTTTAATGCCCTCTGCATCCTTAAAATAACAGCCTCCTCTCCTGGAACTGGTCTCTACTGCGGGACATCAAAAAGGCCCTGGCTGGAAAGCACACAGAACAAAGGGCAAACGGGCCAGGCACGGTGACTCAGGCCTATAATCCCAGCACTTTGGGAAGCCAAAGCAGGTGGATCACTTGAGGTCAGGAGTTCGAGACCAGCCTAGCCAATATGTGAAACCCTGTCTCTACTAAAAATGCAAAAATTAGCTGGGCGTAGTGGTGGGTGCCTGTAATCGCATCTACTTGGGAAGCTGAGGTAGGAAAATTGTTTGAACCTGGGAGGTGGAGGTTACAGTGAGCCCAGATGGCATCACTGCACTCCAGCCTGGGTGACAGAGTGAGACTGTCTTAAAAAAAAAAAAGGACAGCTGCCTCAAGATGGCAGGCGGCTGCATCGAGAGCATCCAAAGGGAAGGGACCCCGGCTGAATACAAAGTATGAGATGGGCTCGCCAAGCAAAGGTGGGGCCAAGCCCCAGACCCTGAGTGAGTGATGGTGGGCGTGGAGATGGCTAAGGTGGGGGTAGGGTGGCCCAGAGACTTTGAGAGGCCAGGAATCCCAAATTGGGAGCTTCAATGGGGTCTGGTGGTCAATGAGGGCCCTCAAGGTTTACTCAAAGGATTGAGGGTTCAGGCTGGGAGGGGGATTCCACATGCCTGGGTCAGAGGCAGTGTGCCAGAGCAGAGGCAGTGTGCTGGTACAGATATGGGCAAGGTTTGCAAAGAAGGCCTGGGTTTTTGGCCTGGGTGGAAAGGCAAGAGGTGACCTCACCACCTGCAAAAAAGAACACTGGGCTGGGTGCAGTGACTCATGTCTGTAATCCCGACACTTTAGGAAGTTGGCGGGGGGAGACTGCTTGAGCCCAGGAGGTCGAGAACAACCTGGCCAACAAAGTAAGACCCCATCTCTACAAAAAGTAAAAAAATTAGCCAGGCGTGGTGGAGTGCACCTATAGTCCCAGCTACTTGGGAGGCTCAGGTGGGAGAATCACTTGAGCCTGAGAGGTCAAGTATGCAGTAAGCTGAGATGCCACTGCACTCTAGCATGGGGGACAGAGCAAGATCCTGACAAAAAAGACAGGTGGGGGTGGAGTGAGATGGGGGGTCGGGGGAGAGGGAGAGAGAGAGGGAGAGAGGGAGAGGGAGAGGGGGAGAGAGAGAGAGAGAGAAGGAAGGAAGGGAAGGAGGAAAAAAGGAAGAAAGAGGAAGGGAAGGGGAGGGGAGATGAGGGGAGGAGATGGGAGGGGAAGGAAGGGGAGGGCAAGGAGGGGAGGGGATAAGAAGGGCAGGGGAGGGGAGGGGAGTGGAGAGAGAAGGTGAGGGGAGGGGAAAGAGAAGAAGGGAGAGGAGAGGAGAGGAGGGGACAGAGGAGGGGAGGGGAGGGAAGAACTCTGGCAGAAGAGGAAAAAGCATTTCTAAAAGTTACTCTTGACTACACACCAACTATGTGCCAGGCCCTATGCCAACCGTCTCATATGACCTTATCTGGACCTCACAACAGTCTCTGGAACAGATACTGTTATCCTCATTTCACTGATGAGAAAACAAGGCTCAGAAATAAATTATGTTGATCAAGATTCCACAAATAGCAAGTGGCAAAACTGGAATTAAATTTCAAACCCACCTCCAAAATCAGTGCCCCCAACCTTCCCACTGGGGGCACGCGCCTTCAGCTGGGAACTATTTGGGCTTGTGAGAAATGTCCACACGTGGGACCAGATGAAATCCAGAGCTGGCGCTGAAATGCTTCACCTTTACCTCCAGGGCCCAGGACCACAGTGAACCTCAAGGCTCTGTGGCCCAAAAGAAATTCCTCTCCCAGCTCCAGAGGACTAAGAAAATAATTCTGTAAGGACCGATGCACCCAACTTTAAGAAGATCTCACGCCGGGCACAGAATCACTTGAGCCTGGGAGGTCAAGTATGCAGTGAGCCCAAAAGAAATTCAAGTCTGCTCTGTGGCCCAAAAGAAATTCCTCTCCCAGCTCCAGAAGACTAGGAAAATTATTCTGTTAGAACAGATGCACCCAACTTTAAGATCTCATGCCGAGCACGGTGGCTCATGCCTGTAATCCCAGCACTTTTGGAGGCTGAGGTGGATGGATCATGAGGTCAGGAGCTTGAGACCAGCCTGGCCAGCAGGGCAAAACCCCATCTCTACTAAAAATACAAAAAATTAGCAGGGCATGGTGGTGCATGCCTGTAATCCCAGCTACTCAGGAGGCTGAGGTAGGAGAATTGCCTGAACCCAGGAGGCAGAGGTTGCAGTGAGCCGAGATCATGCCACTGCACTCCAGCCTGGGTGACAGAGCAAAACTCTGTCTCAAAAAAAATGAGAAGATCTCAAGACTCTGATCTGACCAGGCCGAGTCTGTGTGTTACAGAAGGCTAGCTCTAGAAGGAATCTTCACCATCACCTCACCTACCTTCATTACTATTGAGCACTTCCTATGTGCTGGGTGCCATTCCAAGTGCTTTCTGTATACAAATGAACTAAATCCTTACAATCCTCTAAGGTCCTATTATCCCCATTTTACAGCTGAGAAACTGAGGCTCAGAAAGAAGGGATGCAAGGCCTCAGAGAAGGCCCAAGGCCTTGCCCAAGGCCACAGAGCAGGCCAGTGGCAGAGCCCAGATTCAGACCCAGGCTATGTTGTCCAGCCATTAGGCCTCTCCCCATTGCAAAGAGGGGAAACTGAGGCAGGGGAGGTGTAATCTTCCATGGATTTCATTTCCCACAGGCCTGAAGTCATCAAATGGTGCTCAGTTTCTTAACATTGACAATGTCACCCAGCATCACTGGCACCTGCTTTTCCTCCACCCTGGGGAGTCAGGGGTATGCAGATCAGATTCAGAGCTGCATTCTCAGGACTGACGTTGCTAACTAGACACTCAGCCCTAGGAATGGGGGTGCAGTGAACCCTCATCCTATAAGGAAAGCTATAGAAAAGGAAAGGGTACCTGACTGAACAGTAGGGAGGATGGAGGGTGATGGGGGTCAGGGGCTTCTCTGAGGAAGGGATGGGGGAGGCAGAGGGGAAAGAGGAGCATTTAGAGCAGGAGGGATGGCACCCACTCTGTAGTAGAAGTGGGGCATGGAACATTCTGGAAACTGAACAGAAGCCAGTGTGGCTGGAGTGGAAGGAGAGGGGAGTGAAGGAGGGAGGGACAGGAAGTTGGGGGTGGGCAGGGCTGGGCATGAGGACAATTCTGATC